TCAACAGCAGCTCCGGCCCGCGGCTGTCTTAGTTAGGTGGCCGGTGACGTCGGCCACGTCTGGGCGGAGAACGTTGTCAACCAGCAGCTCCGGCCCGCGGCTGCTTAGTTAGGTGGCCGGTGACGTCGGCCACGTCTGGGCGGAAAGCGCCGTCGACCGGCGGCTCCGGCCCGCGGCTGCTTAGTTAGGTGGCCGGTGACGTCGGTCGACGATTGGTCGCAGCTCTGCCTTATCGTCTTTTCTGCCTTGTCGCCACACGTGGGATGTAAATCTCCTCCTTGGAAGGATGTTTCAAACGACTGCGGTCTGAAAAGTTCTCTCTCACCACCGTATTTCAATTTCAGCTCGCCTTTGCTGCCATCCCAGGCTCTAACTTGCTCCTACCGACGTGTGAGTTGAGATGATTGCTTCTGCCTGCTTGTGTGACTTGTATGGAGTCCGCCTTGACCTCAGAGTGTGTCGTCAGAGGGGCGGTCGGTTGCGGCGCGCACCAGACAGCCGTGCTTCGCCGAGTGACGGCCGACGCGTGAGACGGTACGGCCCGACGAACGACGGACACTTCTCAGTCAGTGTGCCGAGGCTACCAACGTTTGCTTTTTCAGGCGTCTTTAGGAAGGAGTGACGTGTTCGTCTAACGCTCGCCCTACTGTGGGCGGGAAAGAGAGGTGGGAGCTCAGGGCATTCCTCTCAGGTTCTCTGGAATACATTTGGAGCGGTTTTGAGCACTGGCGAAATATGAGGTACCTGAGCTAATATTCTTTTTACACATCTTGTAATAAATTCAAGCTTTTGACATTAACGGTCGATGACCTTGACACATTTCTCGAGGTCATCTCAGTGACATTCTGCTATAAAGCGCGAGACGATTTTATTTCTAGCTGGGAATGCATTTCAAAGAGGCTTTATATGCTTCTCTTCCTACTTTAATTATTCGAAATACGCTTGAGTAATTGCTATCCCCCTCAGATTTTTGCAATGTCAGATTTTCAAACGTTAAATTAGGCCAAACATTGCTAAAAAGGCAATTTAATAGCGGATCGTTTGACATAAAAAGTGTAGCTGTACCTTGAAAGGTCGCTGAACTGTGGCGGGTCAAATTCAGGGAGGGGTTTGAGTCAATTTCTGGGGAATCGCTCAACCTGATGCATCGACGGAGTGTTAGACGAAGCCACACATCTTTGAGATACTTTATTAGGCAACACAACAACTGAATGAGCAAATTACATTAACCTAGGGCCAGGTATGACGACCAGACCAAGATCAAAACCAACCTGCTTTATTATCTTAGGGCTTGATGTATGGGGTAGTTTCTGGCGCTCATTTCGAATTTGTTGACAACAGTAACCGCATTATGCATCTTTCATGGACTTCTTAAAGGTAAGAATAGATCACTGACCTAAAATGATCCAGGTAAACACTTTTGTTTTTAGGAACATACGGTCTAGCGTTTTCTTTGTCGATTATTCAAATCCCAAAACTCAAAGCAGCCTTGCATGATTTTAGTCACCATTACCTTCAAAAGTTCAGACAAAGTCACTGACCTTAAGTGCGCATGTGACTTGTTAAGAACAGTTATTGAGGTACTGGGCACACTTTGGGGACCAACCTGGAACTTGACGTTGTTTGACCTTATTTGACCCGAAGGCCGTAATCATAGGAGCCTTTAAACTTTCACCTAAGTGAGTTTTACCTACAGTCAACACACCCTATGAATTTGGGGGTCTCCAGCTCTCTTAGTTCCTGAGATATCAGAGAGTCAAATTGAACCCCTACCCGAGCGACGGGTATTCAGCTGCCTACGTGGGCGTGTGTTAAAGGTAGAACATAATTGCTATTGTTGATTCTGCAGAAAGCATACGGTGGTATCACCATTAATGTTAGAGCGTTATTTTGTGCGGATGGAACAATAAAACAATCTTGTTATTCCCAAAACTCTTGACTGTCTTGGTTAGGCCTGTTTCTGGAAGAAACCAGTTTTTAATGACGGCTGCATATACTTTTAAGTTCACAAAATATTTGTGTAAACGGACAAGGTTGACTGTCATGTCAG